TGCTGGAATTGTTAAATGAGGCAAGTATTCTTTTTTTTGACTTCAGCACACATGTTTTTTTTCACTAGGACAAATAATTCTCTATTATACAACAGGTATCAGTTATATAGCATGAATAATTTATAATTATGGTACTAACAAATATAGATTTTTCTTTTCCTGCCATTTTATAAATAAGCTGATAGCATATATATTTAGAAAAAGCAACAAATATCTAAACAAGTCTTAATGATTAAGTCCATGTCAAATGTGTTTTATAATATACAATTTAATAATTAATGGCTAAAAAGTGTTTGGTTTTTATTCCAATTGCTGAGAATCACTTGCCAAGAAGAAAAAATTTTGAACTAGAAAACTGTTTCTTTTGAAAATACTTGAAAATTCTACTGCACCAATATTCTAAACCATAGGAATAAAAGCATTAAAAAAAGTTTGTTCATAAGATATCTAAAACCTGTCACAACTGATCTCTACAAATATGAGCTTTGGACCATTATCAATGTAAATCAAGATTCCATGCCAAAAATGGTCACTTGTACCACAATGGGAATCCAATAAAATTCTCTTGGTAGATATGAAAGCACAAATATATTGAATTCTTGCAAATCAGCATTTTATTTGCTACATAATAATCAATAAGAAAAAAAAAGAAGAAATTTCACTTTCCTTTCAGAAACAGTGAGCTTTCTTGGAAGCTTTTCTGTATCATTAACTGGAATAATTGATCAGGGACCATTTATTATCTCAGTTCAACAGGACAAAATGGACAAAAATGACCTGAATCAATACTAAATAAAATTGAAACTTTTCTATTAATTCAATAAATACATTCTGTTTTCTTTTGTTATTCAATACTTCATACTATTAAAAAAATGTGCATGCATAAACATGCTTTGAATTTGGTATAAAGGCAAAGTTATACCAAGTCATGGTGAAAATTCAGTCTCCCTTACCCACCCCAAATACCCGCATTTATTTATTTTTCTTTTATTTTAAAGTTTCCACATTATCTTTGCATTTGAATTTACCAGCCTTGCTATTTAAACCAACATTTTTTCATAAAACTGTTTTTGCCACTTTGCAGACACTTTTCTTTTTTTTTTTTTTTTTGTCTACCAAATGTCATCTGTATTCTACATTAACGTTATTTTACATGGACATCAGATATTTGATGCTAAATCTGAATTGGTCCTGTGACTAGAAGAGTGGGGGTTTGGTCTGAAAAGTTGTGCCTGACTGGTTGTGGGGCGGAGTATGAGGAGTTGTGCATGGTGTGCTTGGAGGTGAGTGGTTGTTCTGAAGAGTTGTAGTTGTATCTGGAAGGAACTTCTGAAGTTTTATAATTCATGTGGGTATATAAGGCTGTCAAACTGCAGAGCCTTCTTATACTGAACATTTGTAAAGGGATTATGGGACAATCTCTGTAACTGTGCTCACATCTCCTCTTTAGGCTTTGTAAAATTTCAGCTTGCTTTGATCAATGTGAAGGCTTGCTGAAAAAGTTGTAGTAAACACTAATGGGTGACACAAAAGACTAACCCTCAGTTACTCTGACTTTGAGGCCTCTGGGCAGATATACCAATTTTGGAGTAACTAGTGGAATCACCTGTTTTCTGTATATTATAGGCAACTTCACATTCTGCAACTTATTTACTTAAAGTATATTATCTCAATAACAAGTGTTTGAGGAAAGTAAGGCAAAACATTACATTAACCTTTGGGTTTTCTGAGGGTGAATTAAACTTGATCTTGAAAGTCTTCATCTGACCATTAAAAGAACTTAGAATATAAAGCCATCACTTGAAAGCTGAGATAAAAATAAAAAGGTTAATCCACTTCACAATGTCTAACAAAACAATTTTTTTTTTTTTAATCCTTTCTCAAGGAAGGTTGATAGTATTTCAACATCCTCTTTTTCCTTTTTTCTCTCTCTCTCATAAAATATATATATATATATATATATATATATATATATGATAAAAGAACAAATAGGAAACATATCAATCTAACATGTTTCACCTTTATTAAAGCTTCATCAGAGATTGAGAGAAAACAGACAAAAAGAAACACTGGTATTTTCCATTATGTTTGGGTCAGTTTTCAATGGTCAAGTATGTGTCAAATGTCTTAGAATTATCTATGATTTTTTTTTTTTTTTTTTTTATGTGTATGTAGGTTGGTGAAAATTCTTGTATGTCTAAGTGGGCATTGAATGGTAATGTGTATTTGTAATTGTGTGTCTCTGTCAAGTGGGAGTTTTATCTTCATGGGGTGGGGGGGTCACAAAGTTCTAATTTATGGCTGACTTTTTTTATAAGAATGTATTCTTTGTGTTAGATCAATATAAGTCAGATTCTTTAAGAATGGATCCAAAGAAAGATTGTAATTTTTTAGGCATGTGTTTATAGTTGGCAATAATATTAAGTTTTCAATGTATTTTCTCCTTAAAGAATCATGTTCTTTTTTCTTTTTTTTTCTTTTTTTAATCCACATCTACGAACTTAAGAGAGACTTGCATTTAAACAAATGAACTAACTCACATTTTGCATTGAAATGATGCTAGGCATAACTCTGACTTCACCAATGCCACCCTAATTAAAAAAGAACATAATCATAAAACATTGTATTATTATCTTTCTTTGAATCTATTCTTAAAGAATCTAATTTATGTCTATCTAATAAAAAGAATACATTCTTAAAGAGGCTGGGCATAAATTAAAACTTTGTGACCCCCTGCTGTGTGGATTGACCTGACTGCACAATGAGGAAAATAAAACTCTCACTAGACAGAAACACACAATTACAAATACACATTACCATTCAATGCCCACTTAGACATATCGGAAACTTCACAAACTTACATACACATAGAATTATGTATGGTTTTAAGACAAATGACGTTCTGACCAATGAGAACTGACCCAAACATAATTGAAAATATCAGTGTTTTCTGTCTTTTTGTCTGTTTTTTCTCAATCTCTGATGAAGCTTTAATAAAAGTGAAACATGTTAGATTGATATGTTTCTTATTCTTTTATTTTATAATCCTGTCAGATTCCAATCCATATTTGATCTGCATTTGATCTTTAAATTACCAATCTCTGTAATTGATTCTTCTGGTAACATAATAAAGATAGAATTTTATGTTAAATAAGACATTGGAAATTTTTAATGGTAAATAGCATGTTATTAGTCAATTTTGGGAGTTAGTGGAATATTTTTAAAAATTACTTAATTTTTAATTTGTATTATATAAGCATGCAAATCTCAAACTTAATTTTCACTGTAGGGAATATGTCAAAAGAATGTGTATATGCAAGTGTATTAAAGTTACCATGTATGTGACTGTGAAATGTTTGTGTGTGTAAAAATATACAGATATCCTCTGTCTAATGTTAATAAATCTGCAGGCTCAGTTGGTTCTTTTAAACATTTTATTTCTTAACCATTCTGCTCGTTTTCTAGTAAAAAATATTCTTTATAAAGTTTTCCTGAAAATATGATTTCCCTTTTCTGTAGTGATTCATTTTTTTATTAATTCTTGTCAAACAGGGTCTACAAAATAATACTGCACAAATCAAAAATAGATAATTGGAATGATTCAAATTCAATTTTTCTACAAGCCAATCAAATGTGCATATCGTTTACATTTTTTAAAACAGTGATTTCTAGTTGCTTCAAGGTTATATAAATTGCTTATTCAAATGAATATGCTTATTAATCAGCCAAAGGCTGGGTTATCTGATGTTGCTGGGGTTGAAACATTTCTAAGACTCATCTTTATACAATAGTTATATTGTCTTGAAAAGAATTAACTCTCTTCTCAGAATCTACTAAGTACTAACCAAAATCTTCAAGCTAATTTTTTTTTTTTTTTTTTTTTTTATGTGCCATGTCCTTTTAGGATGTTGGCGATCATGGTTCCCCACAATTTCCCCTCCTTTGTAGCTCTTGGTAAATTGTCTTTTGCTGTCTCTTCTAAACTCTGTTCTGCTTACCATTTATTTGCTGAAGCCCATTAGTTAGGTTATTTGCTGTTTTCCTCTGTCTTCAGTATGTCCTGTGAGTGGCAAATTTTCCAAGCCCTCTTTCCTCATGTTTTCAATTATCTCTTTCTGATGTTAAGTATAAGTGTCTTTTTTTTTCTTTTTTTTTTCTAAGACTCTGTCAATGATCAACTACAACTAAATAAAAACCTTTTCTTCAAGTATCAAACTTGTTATCAAACTTGTGGCCATTTGATAGCTCTGTAAATGTGTTCCAGACATGATAGATATTGGTGAATTGTAAAGCAACGATTCGAGATGGAATCAAAAGTTTGTGAGAATAGACTACAGTTCCAGAATGCATTATAATTTTCAACTTGTACTTATATTCAATAAACAGAAGATGACAAACAATGAAGCTAACCCTGTCCCTGGTTACAAATGCATTTTGTTACCATTCAGAAATAAGCAAAACAAAATAAAACTGGCCTTATGACACTTAATGATACTTGAATTGACTAACAGTTTTCCTTCTCACACACTTTTCTCCTTTTGAAACTTTCTTCCAACTTAATGTCAGTAAACCCCTTACTTTATTTTCTTGCTTGGAATGAAATGAATTTTTTTTTTTTTTTTTTTTTTAAATTACAAGATGCTGAAAAGTTTATGGCTTAGTCCACTACTCAAACTTGGATTAACTTACAAGACTTTTTATTTCCTTTTGATGAAGCTGAGAACTTTCAGCATCCCTTTATATATATATATATATATATATATACTGGAATATAAGTAACGATATATGTAACATGTTCAGTTGTTGATACTGATGGGTGGCAGCTTCCCCTTCCCTACTCCTAAGTTTGCCTAAATTGCCTTATTAATTGCAAAATAAAATCCAAGACTTAGGATGTCTGCAAAGCTTTGTGAATACTATAACAAATAGTTCTTTAGTATATGAAACACAAGAATTTCTTAAGCCAATGTTGGATAAAAAATTTATTATGTCTATATAGAGTTAAACACCAGTTCTCATACAATCACCGAACTTAAACCACATTGGATTTGATCAGTACCTAAGTGGGTGACCGCTTGGGAATATCAGGTGCTGTAAGCTTGAATATGTAGGTGGTGTAATGGATAATGGCTTGGAATTGTTAATCAAAGAGCCAAATTCTAATTCCAGTCCAATTTATTATATTCACTTATGTACAAATACCATTGGGAAAGGTATGAATCCACCTCTTCTTTCTCCCCCTAGCTATGGGTTAATTAGTAAGACTTGTATCGCTAGATCATTATTATCTATAAAAAAAAATTCTTACAATTTAAAAATATTTTCTGGTTTTAAATAACCTGCAATGGGTTGATAAGCCATAGAAAATGAATCGATAAATCAATCAAATTATCCAACATTATTTCTTATTATTATGAATGTTTTTTGGGTTTTTTTTTAATCAGCGTATGTATGTGAGTTGCTATTCTGTTTTTATTTTATTAAACAGTGAAATTAATTACAACTGGCCTAGAAAGTCCTAGGAATTAAAACCTGTACGAAACTGAAATGAGCAGATATAGATTTGTAAAAGTCCCAGCAAAAAATGTGCATTCCTTAACATAGGTATTTCAAATCTTTGTTCTATCAACACTACTTCTGTAACCAAATTGGTAATGGTATGTTTCAGCTATAGAAGTGGTTTCCCTGATGGAAAAGGGATACAAGTTCAATTCTTGTCAGAGGTACAACAGGACTTGTTATTAATTTCACTGTTTAAGAAAATAAAACATGGGTAGTAACTAAAAAATGTTTATAGTAAAAGAAAAATGAAACTTAGTATAATAAGCAGTTAACCACCAAAGAATCTTTCTTAGAACAATAATCATGATTTTCTATCTGATAAAAATAAAATCGTCTCTCCATGTCATTATAGATTAAATTCAAGTGAGAAAATTTCAGATTATGAAATGAAAAACCTGTATTGATGAAGCACAAAGCCCTGTAAATTTAGTTGTCTCTTCTATGCTTTCAAATATTTTTTTTTTTTTTTTTTTTTTACTGTTTGTATCTTTTCCCTCTTCACTTTATCTTTTTTCTTACCCATCCTGTTGTGGTCTGTATATATTTCTACTTAATTGTATATTTTTCTTGCATATTTTCCAAGTTTCTGGATGTTATACATATAAGAGAATATGAAAAACAAAAAAAATGATCTACTTCTATCCACCAGCTGCTGTGAATGATTGATAACCATATAATCCTTCATCTTTGTTACATTGTCTAAAAATACATAATGTATATCAAGTACCTTTTGCTTAATCTCCAGCTGTTTCATAGCCTGTTTCATTTTATTAAAGTAAATATTCATACCATTTAGCTAAAGGGGTTATTATACAAAGAAAACTTGTGATTAGGGATAAAGACATTTCTCTTCTTGTTTGATATTACTTAATCTTCTTTATACTAGCTACAAAATGTAAATTTATGCCTTCTAGTCACATAATCAAACAGCTGTCATCCATTTTCTTAAGTTTGCGCGTGCTACAGAGTTTCACAACTAAATGCTATATTCTTGAGGAAATGGTACAAAGCTTACCTTGATTTGAAGCTATGAAGGTTTTGTTTGGATATTTGATAAAGAATTTAATCATTTGGAAGTTGAATTTTCCAGTGATTTATTTTATTTAAGATATTTACCATGTAACTATCAAAACCACAATGGTGAATAGTTTAAACACCTACTAATCTTAGTAAAATCTCCATCAGAAATAGTTGAAAATAAATATAACCTAACCCTTGTTTTTATGTCCAAAAGAAAAAAAAATGTGAATTTGGACAAAGCCATTGGTTGTTATATTTTGTATTTTTGTTTATTTATATAAAATCTACTTAGGAAGCCATCTTTGTTTTAAAGGCATATGAAAGTGTATTTTAGCATTTATAGGTTGCCTCCTTAACTAATATTTTTTTTATAATTTAAATCTTCAACTATAAAACTGACTTCAATTATTAATATTTTTAGACAATACTTTTTAGACAAAGAGTTACAAAGAAAATTTGCTGAAAAATTTCATCAGTCTATTATTTTTGAAAATGGAACTTTCAAAGTTGTCAGTATTTTGTGTTTGTGAATTACAAGTATGGGTAAGAATATACTCCCTTGTTGGCAATGTTTAATCTTTATGCCTGCAAAAAAAAAAAATATGTCGAAAGGATAGTTATTCCCTTGACACTGCTATTACTGTATACACTTTTGACTCCCTCGGTAATGTTTATAGTTTTAAAAAGTGATGATTAGAATTTTAATAAAACCCAACATTTGAAAATGGATTTATACATTTTCTTTATTCTTGAGAATTAACAACAAAGATATCAAACACTATTAGATTGAAAAAAAAAAACAAAAAAAAACTTGTTTTCTTAGTTATTTATAAAATGGTAAATAATATCCCATTGTACTTGCTTCATATATTTTCATAATCTTGTAGATAAACATTGGCAAAAGAGTCAAATGTGTATATACAGTAATAGTGGTGTCAAGGGAATAACCATCCTTTTGACACCAGATTTTTTTTTGCAGACACAAACGTTAGATTGTCCTTTTGTTTATAAGAAATGAAAACGCAATCTTAATATGAAATGAAAACATTTGAAGACAAAACATTAGTATGACTGTATTAGACAGAATTAAAGTTTGATATCCATTAAATAGATAATGACTATAGATTAAAACTAAATTCTTCTTCACACCAGTGTTTAGTTAGAACAGTGAACTGTTGGTTAAAAGTTTTCCCTCTTGATATACTGTTGGCCCTATAAATACATTAATAGGGATAAAAATGTTAAAACTGTCTTAAAGGCTCTCATATTGTATAATCAGTTCCATGCCTATAGATATTTTTCTTAGATTCTCACAAGGCCCAATAGCCACTGAAAGTATAGGTTTACTGAATGAGGTGTGTGTTTATGAAAGTAAGAGGAGTAAGTAGGGAGTGAAGATTGAGACTCTTGATGATAGATAAGAATTTGTTAATAATCTAAATGTATCAGTTCAGATGATCAATTTACTGATATTTTTAATTACCTATTTAAAGCAAATTTCTGTTTTGTGCTGTATTATGCTGATTTTTCAGGAATATTTTCTCTAATTTTCATTAAAAACATGTCTAAGTTCAGATAGGTATAAAAGGAATTTTGCATCAAATATTAATTGTAGACACTATTTAAAGACATACAATAGTCAGCTTAATTCTAATTATCAACTGTAAAAGGGGTGCTGAAAAGTTCTTGGTCCAACCAAAAAGCACCTTTTCCCTGCCTCCCCCCAAAACAATAAAAAGGTTTCCATTTTTCCTTAAATATTTATTGAAATCTTTTCAAAGGATCTGTGTTCAGGACAACTGAGGACACATTCATTAAATGCTTAAATATGGCTGAATATAATTGCAAGAACTGAACTAGTAGCTTATATCATTTTTGTAGCAAATGTTGTGTGCATACAGGATACTGGATTAAACAGTGATTTAATTTTTTTTTTCTTTTTTTATAATCATATATGCTTTTAGTTTTACATTGTTTCTATCCTGGGTATCATTTCAGGGTGGACCATTCTCTCAAGATTTTCTGAAAAACACTATTCTTCAGTATACCCAGTTCATCTGTATACCTAGTTTCATGTTTAAAGTGAAAACTAAGCAAGTATACATAAACTGAATATATCATGGGTTGAACGTTTTTATTCTGAAACTCATTTTTATTTGTCTATATTCACTCTTCAAACTAAGAAAGGTGATAGGAGGATGTTATTTTTTTGGTATTTCCAAAAAAATGTCCAATTATAGTGAATTTTACCACAGCACCTATACCCAGCAACAGTTCTTCTGATAATGATATAGAATTAAGGTTAATTTAGGCCCACCATTCTGAACATGTTTACTTTCAGCTTTTGACCCAGATTGCTGACACAGGTGTTCATTGTACAAACAGTGAATTAGTATTTGATTATAATCAAATACATTGACTTACTTTTACAAAAGGAAAGTAAAAATGATTTGATTAATGAATTTAACTGAATATGAAGATATTTTTTGTAACAATAAAATGTTAGAATTCAAATTGATTTTTGTTTGCTTGTTTTTCTGTCTACTTATGATTTTTTTTTTTTTTTTTTTTTTTTTTGGTTTTAGTATTTTTTTAGTCTTTTTTTTCTTTTTTTTATTTGTATGTGTGCATTTAGTGTTGTTAGTCTGGTACTCATTTTAATCCTAGGAATCCCAAACTAGAAAAAATAATTTCAGATAAGTAGTCATTCTTTGGTAATTCATTTTTATCTTCTGTTTATCATTTAATGGAATCAAACAAAATTAGTCCATACAAGTTATTTTAACCTAGACAAAACTTGGTTATCTTTTTGTAGCTATTGTTAAAAAAAGCTTGTAAAATTCTTTAATCAAATACTATCTTGTTGAATTTATATCTTGACTTTGAGCCTGTCCATTCATGTATCAGATAAAACTGCTATAAATGCATTAATGTGCTTTTGTGGTAATAATAAATTAACTTGTTCAAATAAACTGTTAATTTAGGTCTGGGCTTCTGCTTAAGATTAATTTGGTTTCCCTGCACACCAAATCCCTTCAGTTGATAAACGTCAAGAATGAGAATCTACATTGGCATGGTTTCTCAATTTCTGTTTGCAAATGTTGCCATTCAAGCTAAGGTTGGCTTATTCAGATGTGACAATGTCATACCAGGACATTTAACCTTCTACTGGCTGCCTTACTTCTCACCTGTTCAGAAGTCTATATTTCTTCACTTTAGGTATAACTTTCAGTCAAGTAGGTTTTTTTTTGTTTCTCATTAAACTATCTTGTTGACAGTATTTGTGATGCTAAGCAAAGAAAAAAAAACAAAATGGCAAACTTAGTTTGTTACATTCACTTACCTGCAAAAACCCTTGGGAAAAGTATGAATCTCTCTTCTCCCTGTTATGAATTGAATAGAATTGACAGACTGGGTCCTGGGTCCCATAGCCTTGATTGGCAACCAGTCTACCACAGAAAGAAATGGCAACCAATGGCCAGAAAATCTGCCTACTCAGTCATGAATCAAGAGATATGATAGCTTGAGTGTGTATCATGTATGGCACTCAACTGACTGATTTTCTTTTTTAGGAAATGCCTAATTAAAATGGACTTCATTAAATTAATATTTCTCTTAATCTTTTTTAACAATCTTAAGACTTTTTGTCTAAAGTATATATTCAATATCGATGCTGAAAAGTATTTAAAATCTTTTTGTCATTGACTTCAAATTGAAAAGAAAATCAAAATTTAAATATTTCTTGATATATTGAAGGAAACTTTACTGTATCAAAAATGCAAACTCTGCTTATTTAATCTACTTCTCAACTACTCTATAATAAATGATGATGTAATACAAAAAAAAAGAAAAAAAGATGACAATAACTTGCAGCAAACTTCTACAGTGTAACCCGGATATAAGAGAGATTTTCTCTGGTCCCAAATTAGAGCCTGTGTTAATGTAAACAAAATAGACCAAACCCGGATATAAGAGAAACCCGGATATAAGAGACTTCTTCTCTGGTCTCGACAACTCTCTTATATCCGGGTTACACTGTATTAGATATCACTTCAAGTTTAATTAAATCATAATAAATATTCCCCCTCACAAAATATGACCCACAAACTACATACAACCTGCAAGATTACCCAGTCTGGTCCTCAAAGTTCTAAAATACTAAATTTTTTTGTGTACATCAGAATAAATTTGGTGACTGATCACATACGAAAAATTCAGTTTTCTGGAAACATGACTTTATTCAAACAATATTTCATTGAATTTAATAAATCCTTTTAATTCTCTGTTAGATAAAAAAGGTTTTTTTCCTCTCTTTCTCTATATCACTTTCTATCTCCCTCATACTCAGTAATTTACTTACCCCCCCCCCTCAGGCAGTGCTTCTCCTTTAGGAGGGGGCTGGTGTCATTACTGGCATCCTTAAAAAGGGATTTGGTGAGGTGGGCTTGAACAATTTTTCCACGGTATTGCTATAGCCACTTTAAACTGACCTTGTGTCAAATTCAGTAGCGATGTGAACACACTAAAAAATATAAATACTCAGAGTAATTTACTTTTGTAGTCTGTGGTTAATTTTCTATAACCAGTGTGGTCTTTCACATTTTTTTAATTGTACAGATCTGCCTTTGGAAAAGTCTCCATGTTCTTTATTTAAACCCTATCTCTCACCATATTATCTAGAATTTGCATTCTTTAACCATTTGGCTAAATCTACAGATGCTAAATGTTTAACAGAATGTTCTTGGTGTATCTCGTGATATCTTAGCTCAAATGTTTGATCTTGTGAAGTATTAACTTTGCTTAAATGTTTTTATTTCTAACAAAGTTTCTGTGATCACTCTGTAAGTGAACACCAAAGCTGTTACCATGCAGACCACAACCAACAAAACACAAAGAAAGCTTTCTGAATATGATACAATTGCCAATATATTCTTCCAGAACAGGGAATGGTACTCTGGTCATTGTAGAAAATCACAAAGTCTGGTAAAAGACGTATGGCACCAAATGTGTGTTGGTGGTGTTGTGATTCTAGATGTCTTCAGGAGGCTGGTCTCGTACAAAGTAGTTCAGTAGTAATCAATATCATCTTCAGTATTGATAACTCTTTTCTTACACTCCTCCTCATAAACAATGTTATCGATTATAAATAGCTAACAATGGTTTGGGCATTCTCAGATAGACTTGTTCAAAGAAGTTTAGATTTCTCCAGTCAACTATTTCTGTGCACAAGAGGAGGTCCTACTCTCTAGCCACTCATTCAGAGAATTTTATACTCTGAAATACTTCAAAGTAAAGATCATAAATTTGAATTTCATTATGGTTTGTTTTTTCTTTTTACCTTTCTGTTACTGCAGGGGATATGGAATGTTTAATTAATTGGTTTATAAAATAACTGAAGTTTTTACATATTTTTCAAGGTCAGTGAAAATAATGCCTTGTACTGTATGACCTATATTTTCTTTCAAAGTCTCTTCTATTATTTTTGTCTTCAGGATGATTAGAGCCAATAACCAAGTCATAGCACTTTTCTCTACCTAATCAGCCATTTGTACTTTTTCTCTATAGAGCAGAACATTTGATTGTTTTCCTCTACTTATTGTTGATTTGGAAATAGAAATATTCCCCCATGCTGCAAGATTTCATTATTAATTTGAATAATCATTTATTTTGGGGCTGTGATATTTAACATTCTACTCTTTAAATCACCTGGTGCTGTCTATACAAAAGAAACTTGGAAATCTCTTGAGGTATACACTTATCATTTAAATTAGCAAAAATTATCAATAACATCTAAATGTCAGTGCAATCCATATTCCATGAGGAATATTGATTTGTTTATTTTTTTTTCCCCCCACTTATAATTCTTTAGATGAAGCCATATTTTTGAATAGTTATTTTTCCCTCTTTATAGGCTTTTTTGATTTCCTGGATTCAAGCAATAAAAGAATAATGCTTACCAAAATTTAATGAAGTACAAAAAAAAAAAATTTAGATTTGAACAGTAAAGGAAAATAACCGTGTTCCAATTTTAACTCCAGTAGTCCAGAGTTGAGAACAAAAGATTTTAATTTTATTTTAATAATGACTGTTTATGAATAAGTGGTATGATAATTAAAGAAAAAAAATTATAACAATTACAATGGAGGAGAAATAAAGATTTGCTTCCAATGATAAATTCGACAATATCTTTTATTTTATTTTACTTTACATTATTTTATTTTATTTTTTTTAATTTATTTTAAACCTTTGATTTTGTGACTGAAAAATATTTGAATAAATATCTTTTGTCCTCTGTAGGTCTGTGACTGACCCTAGAGATGGAAAACGGGTGGCCTTGAAGAAGATGCCAAATGTCTTCCAGAACCTCATTTCTTCAAAACGCGTCTACCGGGAGCTGAGGATGCTTTGTCATTTCAAACATGAAAATGTGAGTTGATTTCATCCTTATATATTTAGCTGACAAAACCTTGATATGTCACTGCTCATTTATCTGCAGTTGTGAATATAAATGGGAGAGGGATTTTTTTTTTTTTTTTTTCCTTTTTGGCAGGGGGATCTGACCCCTACTGGCAAGCTGGCATTGTTTGTAGTCTGTCAATCAATTTAAATATCTTTGTAGGATCACTATATGTACCTTTTTTCTGTAGAATATAAAAATAGCTGAGCTTTTAAAATGCATAAACCTGAATTATATTTTTCCTTATTCTATTTTAACTGGGGACCCACATGATTTTTTTTATATATTAATCAATAATTAGCAGAAATGATTTAAAATATAAAATTGCATTTTCTCTTATTCAAAAATGCTAACCAAAATATCAACATAAGGTACAATTTTTTTTTTTCCATGGTATCACTCACCCCAATTTTGAAATGTAAAATTTTGGTAATAAATAAATAAAATTCAGTTAAAAAAAAAAAAAAATAGCCTTCAGACTGTAGGATACATGGTAATTTGGTGTGTGTGTGTGTGTGGGGGGCTTATTTTGTAGTTGGAAGGTATTTTTAATACTGGTAAATACTGATGCCCCCCCTACCCCCCCAAAGTTTCCATATTGGGAGTTTGTTAGATTACATCTGTTGTAAAGAAATAACTTTCATTATTAAAATTTAACTCTTAAATTCATGAGATATGGGATCTTTTTTATTTTGTGGAATGGACTCCCTAGAGAATGCTTCCCCGATCACTACAATCGTAACCTCTTCAAGTTTAGGGTCAACCATTATCTATCCTACATAACCTTATAACATGCACCTTTTGCTTCTTCCCTGTACAGCCCTAACCTCATTTAGTAATCCTTTACCTTGAGTGGCTCTTTGGTCATCTATTGGATGAGTTAGAAATTCTTTTATTCAATAAATTTACCTTCATCCTTCAAAATGATGCAAATATTCTTTAGGTTGGTTGTGTGTGTGTGTGTGTGTGTGTATCTGTGTAGTTTTTTTTTTTTATCATGAACTCTTGACAAGCATTCTCATCTTTTTTTTTTTTTTTTTTTTTTTTTTTTTTTTTTTTTTTTACGTATGTCATAATACTTGAAGAAAAATTTTCCCTATTTCATGGTATAGCTGTCCAACCAAACATGTCACCAGCAAATAATTATCCAAAACTGCTTGACTCAATAAACATTTTAAGTCTGATTGACAAGCTACAAGTGTCCAAGGGGGGAAATGATTTGGTTATTTCTTAACAGCCTTCATAAATGATAAATCTATACCTTCAGAATAAACAAAATATAAAAAAAATATTAAAATTGCAGTGGATAATTACGTTTTATATTAATAATAATAATAATAATAAAATGTTTCACAACTGATCAAAGGCAGAAAACGGATTTGAAAACCTTGTTAGGTTGAAAATATGAGTTGATTATGAATTTTAGTTGAAAACGTTAGTTGTTTGGTTTATTAAATTAAAATATGACTTTCTTATTTATTAGGTTAACTTATTGAATAACAATCTCTAGCAAGTTTTCAAAAAAGTCCTTTTTGTACATTTGGAATTAATATTGGTTTGCAAAGATTACAACTCAATTTCTTCACTCCCCAAAATATACATGAAAATGTCTAGAAAAGCATAAAAATTAATCGTACAACTTAACACCCCCCCCCCCAACCTACAGCAGAAATGTTACCATTCAGGCAAAACTGAAGTGTCTGGGGTGGGGAACAGATGTCTCTGTCTATTTATCAAGTTATATAATAGACTACTGAAAATGTCAAACTCTTCAAAATAAGTCCAAGAATTGATATTATAGATTACATTTCAAGAGATTTAGATGGCATTTTCTTAGAAACTTTCAATATTTAATGTGAAATAAATGACATTCTATCTTTTGTTAGGTCAGTCAGGGCCAGCTTTACTCGCTAAGTGAAAGATAAGTATCATCTTGAAGCAGAATATTGTACATAAAAAAAAAATTACGTTTGTAATGTTTTAAACACCATCAATCAAGCCATACTGATGCTTATAAGAATAAATAAAATCACTCCAATTGTAATGATTTTAGCAGCATTTGAAACTGATATAATTTGGCAGTCAACAACTGAAACAAAATTATTACATTAACATATACAGAATATTTTTTAATATAAATTTATTATACCTATGTCCCTTTTCATGTTAGGTTATTCTGTTTTGTATTCTTGCTGCATTCTTCTAATTGAAGAAATTTCTCCAAGGCATATTATGTTAAAGATCTGTTATATTTGTAGGATCATTTTTAAAGATCATTTCTTGTGAAATCATTATTATTTTAGTGGGTAATAAAAACTAAAAAAAAAAATAAGATCCTTTCCTTTTTGCTGTACTTAAAGTAAAATTCAAGTCAGAAAAAAAAAGAAAGAAAGAAGTCACTGAAATTTTTAACAAAAGATCAATAAAGAGATATCAGTTCTAGTGAAAGAGAACAAATTATAACTTATTGTAAACATTATTGTCTTTGCTATTTATGTTGTCATTAACAGCTGCTTCAAATACAGTTGTGTTGACCTTTTAATCATCTATAGGTTAATACATGAATGCTTGCTTTTACTTGCATGCACATTTGATGTAATATTTCTTCAGGCATGAGCCTGAAAAAGTTAGAAGGGTTTACATATTATAGATAACTTCCCTTTCTTGAATGTTCATAATGTCAGAATGTTGTTTTTCATTCAGTAGCTATTGTAGATATAATTTAATCATTCTGTGTCATTTAACCATTAACGTTTACTAGACTAAATTTATCTCTAAATTTCACCATTTTTAAAGTAACTTGAATTTAAATTCAATTTGTGAGCTATTCTGGTAAGATTCGGCTCAGGCTATCTGATCGAGACATTTTAGTTATGAATATATGGTTTTAGTTACTTCTATAGAGACCAAATGTGATAAAATATTCATATCTTGTTTGGTCGTCTGGTTTGTAATGGCTTAATGATTCTAATTTTTTTTTTCCTCCAGTGTACTAAAGACAAACTAGTGACTTGTAATATAAGAGAATCAGATTTAATCTATCTGGGCTTGTTAACTTTAGTACATCCATATGTAACAAATTCTAACAGAAATATCTAACCTTAGCTAACCTTTGGAATTGATTATATTCAACAGAACTTTGTAAATATCCAAGTAAGATATTATAGTACTTACTTGCAGTAATTGCATGGCAAAAGATCATGATCACACTCCTGAACGGATATTGTCACACTGCGCTGTTAAACTAGCTCCCTTCATATATCTAAGCTGAATGCCAATATCTGAGTCTATGAAGTTTTCCAGTCGACTCAGTAATATTGTCAAGCCATTTTTTCATCTGTCTCTTCTTTTACCTTAGGGTGGTATCTTGTAGGATGACCAGTGAAAGGATTGGTGGTTCTTATAACATGACCATGCCATTTCAATTTCCTCTTCTTGACCTCGCTTATGAGGACATTTGTTAAATACAAAATTGTACTATTCACTTGACTGTAAACAAGTGTTTTATTCCATATATTGTTTAAAAGTTAAACTTTTATCTCTCACTCAATTAGATATTTGAATGTTGATCTCTTCTACTAGAAACTTCTAGATGAATTTCCACATTAAGCCTTTTGGACAAGTTTCTACTTTAAATGTATCTTGAGTGCTTTTTTTATATGTCTCACTATTTTCTTGGTTTTAAGCAAAACATATCACAAAACAAAGGCTTTGTCTGTTAATATAATTAAATTGTTTTGGGTTGGTAGTATTTTGCTTCTTATGGCACCTCTCTCCTGAAATTGGTTGGGGGGGGGCATCAAGGATCAAATTCAGAACTTTTTTTTTTTTGTTTTTAAAGCCATGGATGCAACACTGATTTTTGGTGTTGTCCTTAAGGCAAAAGTGAGACTATATACCTTTTTGTAGTCTAGAATTTTGTAGACTGTTATAAAAGGATAGTCTTGTTCAGTTGCAAGATTGTGTATTCTAATATAGTCAGTAAGATATTTGATAATGAAACACATTTTCATCAATGTATTTGTAACTTTTTTGTAATAAGTTTCTTTAAATCTGGAAATGTTAACTTCAATTATAGAATGCAAGTCTTTGTTGGTTTCAGAATCTGATCAATAAAACCAATCAAGTCTGACCACAACGAAAAACCTTTTCAGTTTTATCAAATGAAAAGCAATCGGTTTTGCCATTCAGTAGAGACTCTTACCTATTTCTTTCTCTATATTATCTTTTGAATGATTCAATTAAGATAATCAACTCTTTAGATAGCATGGTTAAAAAAAAAGAATTTATTCAAAAACAATTATAAAAGACATTTCACAATGTAAAATCCCATGCTTATTCTCTACTGTTTGCTTCATCTATAACAAAGACAGGAAAAGTGTTATACTTTTGTAAATAAAAAAAGAAAATCTTTGCATAAATCAATATGATTGTGTATATATATATATATATATAATTTTTATTTTTCAGATTCTCTCTGCGTTGGATATATTACAGCCACCCCATATAGACTTCTTCCATGAAATGTATCCTTTATTTATATATAATTTTGGCATGGTGAACAAATGAATATAGAACTGAACTCAAAACAATAGTATTAGGAGGGGAGGGTTAATTCATACCTGAATATTTAAGTCTGCTGGTTGTCTATGGAATCCTGAGCTATAATCTATTAAAGTTGTCACAAACACCAATTCTGAAATTCATATTTTATATATTTCTTTAAGATACTGATCATTGTAATTTAAAAAACTAATGTAATTGCCAGTGTATTGTTAGCATGAAATTTAGTTTTGAATGTGGTTATAATGCTATAAAATGTATTTATTTCTTTATTGCTGTTCATATTGTCCAATGTAACCTGTTCAGTAAGATACAGTGTCCCTTAAGTCTGGACATATAGGCAAAAATGCATATTTTCAAGAAATTAAACATGATGCAATAACACCACATTTCCATCAATTTTAGCACATTCATTCTTTATGCATTCAATCAAGTGCATCTGTGATTTTCATCGAGTACACCACCCTCCTTTTGCATACCCCAGAAAAATGAAGTTAATTCTTTCTTCTTTTGACAAAATCATGTTTAATCTGTGGAAGTATTAAAAAAAAAAAAAAAAAATACACTATTTACATTGTCCTGTCACTGGATCTAACTAACACCTTTATCCACTGTGCCAGGGTTAGGGGTTAGTGGATAAAGGCCAGTGACAGGACCCAAAGAGTTCAGTACATGGTTAAGGCAGTGGAGAACTTTGAGAGAGGAATTAACAGGAGATAACTGATATCCATTAGACATGGCACGTGGGAATAGAACGGTCTATCTCAGCGAGCGAAATGAAGGGTTCAGTTCGACATTCCAACCACCTGAAGAAGGCTGGAGCATACAATGGCCAAAACGTGATGAATATAGCAACAAAGATGAAGACGATAGTCTGAACAATGTAAATAGTGTACATAATACCTCATCTCAAAAATATAGACAAAAAAAAAAAAAAAGAGTAGTTAATGAGATTTTCTATGTGTCTAGACTATAGGGACTCTCTATATTTTATTAATATGTTGTTCCTAATCCTCAAATGCTACTTGATGTTCAAGTGTATGAAAGATTCCACCTAGTTATTGAAAATAGCAAGCACTAGGGAATAAACTGTCAGATTTTATTAAACAAGCCAATCTTTTCACAATAATATTTGTATCAACCAACTGATCTTGGTAAGATTTTCAGGCTAGGCTTATATTCATATGATGAATATACCAAATGAATTTCAACTTAAAATGGGTTATTATTGGTAATATTTACAATAATTTATTTGGCAGTGTGGGGGCAACATTAGTGCAATTGGTGAATTTCATCCAAGTCTGTTGCATTTTAAGTTATTAAATAGCTCAAATGTATATTTACAACCCCATCACAAGTATTGAACTGATAGCCTTTAGCTAATGTAAACTTGTGCATTAATAAGTTGACCTGTTCCACCTGCAGTTGAAATGGGTTCTGCCCATTGAGTTCTATATAAACTTATTCCACTGGGGATATTTGAATCCATTTGCTGGCACCTTGAGGCAGTATAATGATTAGCAAGCTTGTCTCATCAGAACAATTACAACTGAGTTCAGTCCTCACTGGGTGCCCCCTAATTTCAACCACACTTGAAAAATCTCTATAAATCCATTTACCTTTGGTTGGGATTTATATTTTAACCCCAGGAGGGGGCTGAGTTTATTGCCTGGTGCCTGAAGCGTCCCCAAAAGAGGAAGTGCATAGGGGGTTTTGGAATTTTTCTACGGTATTGCCACCTTAAACAGACCTTGTATTACATCTGGTTGTGTGGTAGATGCACTGGTAAATGCCTATAAATCTATTTGCCTGATGAAGTTATATCAGATTAGATCAACACTTTTTCACTGATATCCTTGGGAAATGTATGAATCCATTTCTTTCCCCTCTGGATATGGGTTAAATAGAGTAGTCTTGGTTTTCTAGCCTTAGGTGGCAGCCAGACTAAAAGGAGGACTACTTTGAATTATAAAAAAAAGAAATTGGAGAAAGCAATGAGAAACCATTTTGCTATCTTTTCCAAGAAGTCACAGCAATTCACAGATAATAAATGAAAGAATCTTGAAGGACTATTCTGAATTCTAAACCATAGAGAAGGCGGGAGGGGAGGGGAACTACTGTACCATCTTTCCCAAGAAGTCATGGCAATTCACAGTTGATAAAGCAAAGGAATCTTGGAGAAGGACTACTCTGGATTCAGAACTGTGAAGGTAACAGGAAAGAGCCATTATCATCCACCTATATACTGAAGAGACCTCACATTAAAAAAAAAAATAATTGGTAATGTTAGATTTTATTATGCAGATTGAGGGTTGTTCATCATATTACAAATATGGCAATTGTTTGGGGGGGGGGGTGAAGATGAGATAATAATCTGGGAGGGGGGCTATAAAAACTGCTGCATAAATTGCATTTGACCTGACTATCTTATCCCACTCATAAATATATCATAAGAGAGTAAATGAATCCTTTTTTTTTCCCACCAAGGTAGATTATATAAGAAATAAGCTGAATCACTTGATCAAAAATGTTAAACTCTTTTTCATCCTGTTTCCTTAACGTTTCTCAGATATGTGGTAACAGAATTAATGCAAAGCGATCTTCATAAAATCATTGTTTCCCCACAGCCACTAACAACAGATCATGTTAAAGTGTTTCTTTACCAAATACTCAGAGGTGAGTTATAAGATCTTTTGTTTTAAATCAGTACTAGACAAAAAAAATAACCTTTCTTGGATAGTTTTCTTTGCTTTCTTAATTAAAACTAAAGACATCTTTCTATCCTGTTCCTCTTCTATTAATTTTCTTCAACAATTGTATAAAAAATATCTTTTCTGAGACACAATGTAATCTGAAATTTGAAATTTTTAAAAAATTTTAGATATTTTAAAAATATTTCCAAAGAATACATTATTGTGCTGCTTGCTTCTTGCATTCTTTAGACTGGGAGATTGTATTTACCTCCTCATGAGGGGAACAACATTATTAAAAAGGTTAGTGTAATATGAACCCTAATGTGGGTAAGCACAAAACATTTCCAAATCTCAAAAATCAGTACAAAGAAAGGTACTAAACTGGTCTGCTTATGTAAGAAATGTTTTTTTTTGTTTTTTTTTTTTAGTGGGGGTGGGGGGCTGTTGACAATTTTTGTAGATTAGCATTCATTAGATTTTTATCTACCCATACCATTTGTCTGAATTTAAAAATATTGATTTTTTTAAAAAATCTATTTAGATGGGGGGGTGCTGTTCATAATATAAATGTGTTAAATGACTGACTTCTTTTTATTTTCAAATATCATTTAAAACTGTACTTATGTCATTAATAATAAGAGCATACTATTATGAATTGATGAGGAAGGACAACATCAGTAGTCATCAGTGACATACGTGCAGTTTTAAACTTGATATTTGGTTTAAAAACAAAGCACACATAACTCTTAAGAAGTCCAAGATTAATTTCACACTGTATTTATATTATGAATAGGACACCCCCCCCCTCCCTATTGTAAAATATAAGAAATTGATATTTTTCAATTCTGCTAAATGTGAGTAGAGAAAGGACTAATATATAATTTTTTTTACAAGCAGGCCATTCAATTTAAGTTGTACCCTTCAAAAGTTCAGGACGACAATGAGGCGTTTTATGATCATTAAAAATTTCATATTCTCAGATCATTACTTTGTTAGTAAATGTGACAGGAGTTATTTCCCTTAGATTAATTGTGTCGTTACTTTTTAATCGTATTTAAAATTCAGATCAAGTTTCGCGTATCTTGATTTTTTTTCTTTTTATTAAATTCTTATTGCATTTTTTTTTTTTTTTTTTTTTTTTAAATATTAAACAATTTTTTGCCTCTTCATTGACTGATTTCTTTATCCTTTTCTTCAATGTTTCAGGTTTACGTTATCTCCACATGGCAAGAGTCATACATCGAGATATAAAACCTGGAAACTTACTTGTAAATAGCAATTGTGTTTTGAAGGTAGGAAATTTATAATTATCACTATGTCAGCTTGTCTCTTTATATAAAACTTATTACATTTCAAACCAGAATCATTATTTATCTTTAGAAAATTATAGTTAAATAAATTTTCTCAAACATAAAATAATGAATTTTAATTCTTTATACATTTTACATTTAACTGAAATTCATGTCATCTTTGACATAATGTTGAAAGGTTTGCTTTGAGGCCATATGTTATGTTTAATCTTGAATTCAAAAAATATTCTGACTTTAAAAACCAAAACAAGTGAAATGCTTTACCAGTTGACAGAGCCCACAAGTCATCTAACTATCATGTCTGTAGGCAATCTGTATCGATAATTCTCAAAATGTGTGTATGTGTGTGATCGGATGTTGTTTATGCATTTCTACAGTCTCTCCATAGTCAATTTGTTGGGGAGGTTACCTTGACATAAAGAGATGATGTGGCACCAATGGGAAAGGCCTGAAAAATCAAACCAAGACTTTGATTTGAGCCTTAAAAGTAGTTTGATGAAACTGTTCTGAAGCCAGCGATGGTTGTGCTAGCATGAAGTCACAAGTCATCATGAGCGAGGGGTTTCAGCATAGTGGCCTTGTTCAACTACTGATTATGTCGGATTGTGGGCTCTTTCTTCTCAAAACTGTAACTAAAGTCTACTCAGCTTAGTTGCAGTATAAGGTTGGCTCAGTGTGGCAAACTTGGAATATCATGATTTAAAAACATTTATATTTTATTAGTGTAGTTGTAATTTGGGCTAAACTTTCCTGGCTCTTCTAAAAGTTAACAAAATTTTTTAAAAGTGCATTTGTTACAGAAAATATGTAGTGCAGCAAATGTAGATATTTTTTTTTATTAAGACCCAAAACTATTCCTGTAATTTCAAAATAATCCTCAATAGCTTTTACACACATACACACACATATACACAGGGTGCAATGGATAAATTGTTGCCATTGTATAGTTTTAATTTCACGCATTGTTTTTGATTTTGTTGACTGCACAATATAGTAGGATCAGTTGGCTACCATCTGTGAGAAAAAGAGCGACATGACACAATTCACTCTGCCAGAAATTTGGAAATGATATGCTCTACTGCTTGGCATTCATACTGGAAGCACCAACACAAATATTTCAGAGTGTTTGACGAGGATTTAGAAAGAGTTGGATGAGTGTAATGGGAATTACAAGGGTATTTGGAGTGATCACTAATGATGGTGATGTTATGCCTCCATTCATCTTCCCACATGGCTTCAGACTCAACATGGAGGCCTACATTAAGTGCCTTGAGGTGGTAGTACTGCTCTGGGTCAAGAGGGTGGCTGCTATAAGATCCTATGTCTGGTACCATGCCTCACCTGCCGGAGAGCCCAGTCATGGCTGTCAGACAATTTCTGTGACCATACCACCTCTTACATCTTGCCACCAAACTCCTCAGAATGCAACCCCCTTGATTATTATGTGTCAGGTGCAGTTGAGTGAGAAACAAACAAAACTCCTTGTAAGACCAAAGATGAACTGAAAGCAAGGATTATGGCAGCATTCACCAACTTAAACAAGGAAACCATCCAGAAGAGTTGCAGGAGATTCCAAAGTCATCTGAAGGCTGTGGCTGAAGCCAATGGTGATTTTATTTAATAAATTTACTCTTTAGTATTTCAAGATATTTTTTGTAAATGATATCTGTTGAATCTGATATTTTTTGTAAATAATATCTGTTAAAATGAGATGTCAGTGTTATTTTCATTTTTACATAATTTAGGTGACAATTTATCCATTGTACTCTGTGTGTGTGTGTGTGTGTGTGTATATATATATATATATATATATGTGTGTGTGTGTGTGTGTGATAAAAAGTTTTTACCCACAGTCACTTTTTTCTTTTTTTTCTATTTGCTTTGCAGATCTGTGACTTTGGTTTAGCACGAGTTGAAGAACCTGATGAGGAAACGCACATGACCCAAGAAGTGGTCACCCAGTACTACCGTGCTCCTGAGATATTAATGGGGGCAAAACATTATACCTCTGCTGTCGACATCTGGTCTGTCGGTTGCATTTTCGCTGAGTTACTTGGGAGGAGGATTCTCTTTCAGGCTCAGAGTCCAATTCAACAGGTAGCATCCCCTAACGATCTTCTTTTATTTTTCATTTTGTTCAATTTGCTTTATATTCTTCAGAATTCTTTGAAGAAAACTTTTCTATCTATGACTCATGAGCTATTATAATTGAACAGTCTTGTTCTCTAATAGCACAGAAATGAAATGTGGCAATGTATAATGGCTGTTGAAATGGGTAAATGAAATGTTTTAACACACTTTCATTTGTGCATCTTTTAGTTGAAACCTTCATAGGTGTGGCAGAAGAGAATCACAGGTGAGGCAGAATGATTAATAGACAATCAAAAATTTAGAAACAGCTTCAAAAAATTTGTATGCCAAAAATAAATATTATTTAAGAATTTAAAAAACAATTTTCTGGCACCCTTCATTTCAGAACCATGCAAGAGTATCTGTTTCACTAGACCAGCAGACATTACCTATCAACAATTGAATAATTCACCTCTGACCCATTAATTAGGCATCTCTCGTATCTCTCTACAGCTTTATTAACTGTTAGAAAATTATATTAAATTCTTATTAAATGTAAATTATATGCAAACTAAATGATTAAATAAATCTGGCAATTACTTGAAATTCAAATGTTTGCTTGTAATTTTGTTCAGATTAAAACATCAGTAGCCAGAGGATTGGTGATGCACTGGTTTAGGGATTTATATCTTTCACGCACACACACACACATTAATGACGTAATAATGTCGTTTTTTGACGTATTTTTTAATGTCAAAAAACGACATACTTACGTCATTATTTTTGCACCAACCTAATATATATATATATATATATATATATATATATATATATATATATATTCCTAAAGAATTAATGAATTTACAGTAATTCCCTGGGTTCTGACTATAGACAATTTCATGGTTACGATTAAATCTCCATTAATCTTGTTTCAACTTATGCCATTTGCTTCATATATACAATGCAAATAGCGGGGGAAGGTTGTCATACAATGCTCATGAAAAAGGCACCACAGCGTAGGTCAGTTCCTGGTACTATGACATAGTGTGATTGTTGGTGAGTGAGTGCTTTATTCACAGAAAATCCTGGGTATGTTCTGACTTACTAGGAAAATCGTGTTAAAATACATTGTAGAAACTGAACTCTTTTGTCATGAGATGCTGGAATCCCTCTACTTTGATCCTTACCATTGCTAATTTCTTTCTAGAGTTGTCTCCCCTGCCACTACATTTTTTTTTTTTTTTTTTTTTTTTTTGAGGGTGCAAAAACGTGAACCCTCACTGTTTTTAAAATTGTTATAACTTTCTTTGTATTCTGCATATAGATTTTAATTTTTGTACACTAATAAAAGAATGATTGAGTAATATTTTGAAGTATTGCATTACGTTCTGCATGTACGTTCGAAAAAATTTGAAACATGAAATAAAAATAACGTATACATAAAAAAAATATATAAATAATTTAACGTACTTTAACTTTTATTACTCCTTGTGGAGTTCTGGGATGCAATAAGAAACAAAATCGCTAAGAAGGCTTTCATTTTGTCAAAAAATTGACTTTTTTCCTCGTGTTTAGAATTCAAAATGGCGTTGGAAGCTTAGCCGTGTTCCAAAGCAATAGTAGGCAATTTCCAGCTTAAAATACTGTAAATAACAGTTGCCAACTGTTCATTTATAACCGTCTTAAAGCGACAGAATGTGCCTAGAGTATCAAGGGAGAGAATTCTACTGCGACTATTGTTGCCTGCAATATGTTAATGGTTAATCTTACTTGAAACATTATTATAGTGGACACTTCATATTTGAAATAGACGCCCCATTTTTATTTATTAAACAGCCTGCATCATTTAAGAAATCCTAGTAAAGAAAATGTATTCTCTAACAGATATCAAACCTGCGTCCTCCTTTGTAGGGGAAATCACCATTTGATCTTTCATGCTTCACCACTCAGTAATGAGGAACATCACAGTAAGCAAAATTCTATTTTCTGGAGACTCCGGTTCAATCCCTGCTAGAGAGAACATTTTCTTTACTAGGATTTTTTGAGAGAAGTGTACAGGCCAACAATAGAAATCATACACACTGTTTAATAAATAAAAATGGAGCATCTTTTCAAATATGGGGTGCCAAATGATGTTTGAAAATATATATAGTATCCATTTTTGTTTAAGCCATATTACTATCAAATGCTTGCTGTATTTAATTTGCAGTTTTATTGGATATGTTTTCTGCATGAGTTATGATTTTCATCTGTACAACTGTCACATGTAAAAAATGAATTCTGTTTACTAAATCTTTAAAATAGCCAAAGATAATGAAAAAAAAATAATGTTAGCTGCTTGATCTATTTAAAAAGGTGATATTCACTTATTGACATGCTTCCTGTTACTCCCACTATGGCATATTGCATTAGTAAAGCAAATTATATTGCCTAATCAATAAATATATAGTCACATTTTGTTTTATGCAATAGATACTTTGTCTGCTCGAGCCAGATTTCTGCAGATTTCTTTTCATTAACCTCTGGTCAATGACAAATGCATATTATTATTATTATTATTATTATTATTATTATTATTATTATTATTATTATTATGACAACCAAATGCATTTATAACTTGATTCTGGTATTTTTTGTTTTATAAGTTAAAGCCAAAAAATTCTAATTTATTGACTTTTTAAATTTTAGTAAAAACAAAAAACTGATGATTTTGTTTTATAATTTTGATGGAAAAAAATGTTTAAAAAATAAATTTTGATAGAATTTAAAAAATTAACATTGATAGAAAAAATGTTTGAATTAATTTTGATAGAATTTAAAAACATAATGTTGATAGAAACAAATTGTTTTTGGGATGTGGTATTTGAAAGCTCAGATTTATTTATTTGAAATTTGAAGTCTTTAACCCTCAGTTTCCTGCATTTTGTCAGTGACTTAAAGTTAATGATTTTAGAAAAAAAAATGCTTAGTGACTTTTTAACATAATTAAAATAAAACAATAAAAATGGACATAATTAGGTCAAAAAGGGAAAGCAAAATCTAGGGTAGTTAGCAATAAAGAAACAAAATTATACAGAATGAGCAATCACTCATTTTTCTTTTTAATATATCAATATAGTAAATCCTTAATTATATAACTTTCAATATAACATGAGTCAATTTTGCATGTTTTCAATTTTCCTAGGATTTTTCTTATATTTTCTAGTTTATCAACCTCGATGATTTTGTTATAAGTCATGCTGCATTTAAGGTTTTTTGTTTTGTTTTTTTTTTTTCCTCGATACTTTATTAACTGGACAATTTCACTTGATATTTCACTTAATAATTTCTGCTGTATTTTTCATTTTTATTTTGTAGCTTGATCTCATAACAGATCTCCTTGGTACTCCCAACCTGGAGGATATGCGAACTGCTTGTGAGGGTGCCAAAGCCCATATACTTCGCCAGCCACACAAACCAAATTCTTTCACTGTCTTATACTCACTGTCCAATCAGGCTACACATGAAGCTATTCACTTGGTCTCCCGGATGCTTGTATTTAACCCAGTAAGTCCCTCTTTAACAATGCCAGTAACCTACATTAATCTTATCTTAGAACAAAAAAAAAAAATGAAACTTGTCACTAATCAATATTTACTAACAATTCATGCTTGATTACATTATTTCAGTCTGTAAATAACACCATTATATAAAATATTGATGCCTACAAATATGTTTTAGAGTTTCATTCTTCACACATTTCATTTAGATTGACTTGAAATATAAATTATACATGATATTATTATATGTAAAAATTCATATGTAAATAATTTATTTGTAAAGCCAATATAAAGAAAAGACAGTTTTCGTTTTGTCTTGTATTTGAAACTCTCTATACTTTCATTATGTGTACTTTTGGGTCTTGAATGAAAGAGTGGAATAACTAGGAGATATGGTAGATTTTTTCAAAATCTTATAAGTGGAGAAAGATGTTAGAAAAATCTGAAGAGCAAGTAGGATTAGACTAGAATTTAGTTTATTTCAATGAAGGAATTATATGTAAGCATGCAGCAAGTTATTGAATGAGAATTAAAACAATTTTCTTCTATATCAATTTTTTTTTTTTTTTTACCGCAAATATAAACCTTACAAATTTTGTTTCTAATGTCCTTCATTATTTCTTATTCTCTTCTTCACGGATCATCTCGTTGTTTTTAACAAAGTACTTTGGCAAGATAACCTTGTTTTGGTGTGTCAGGAACCTGTCTTTTTTACTTTGCATCCCAATGTAATTTTACGTTTCAATCACTAATTCCACTCCATGTTCAGTTTTAGATTTCTGAACAACAACTACAAGGCTTTGCTTTAATTTAACAAAATATTGTTAATAAGAGCCACATGCCAATATTCTTTTCTTGGCTATATTTTTTAGATTATTTTTAAAATAAGGAGGAAAATGATTTACATTACTAAAATATCATTTTGAATTATTTGAATTAATTTTTAGACTTGAATTAAAATTTAAATGAAACTTTAAACCCTGTATCAAATCTGTATCACAATTCTAAATAACTATTTTCTTTGAATTGAAATTAATTTTCAAGGAAGTTTCTGAAAAAAATAAGGTGTACATTAGGAATTATTTTAAAAAATCAACAAGTCTGGGTGGGTACAGTTATACCTGAAAATAAGAAAATTGCTACCTTGCTATAAACTTTGTCTTTATTTAGTTAAAAATTTTATTTTAGTTGTAAGTTGCAGTTATTTGTATAAAATTGAATTTTGCACTAATCTGAGAATGTTACTTTAAATATCTGCTTCTGTTAACAAGTTCACTGAAAATATCTACAGTCTAGGGAATTGGTGAGTGATCAAACAAAATTCAACATCGCTTTGCAATTCCATAAAATACAGGGGGAATAACTCTTTCAACTTTATAACTCCTATATTATACAAGACAAACAAGTTACAATTTCAATTAGAAATTTTTTTTTATATTCTGACTACTAATCTGTGCCGTGTCCCTTCAGGACGTGGGCGATCATAGTTTTCTACAACCTTCTATCCCTTGCAGCTCTTAGCAAGTTTGTCTTTTTACTATCCTCCCAACTCCGTTCTGTGAGTAAATTGTCCAGCGTTCACTTCCATATAGGAGGACAGATATTATGTCACACTTCAGCATTCATTTCTTTGTTTCTAACGAAATTTTCTTGTTTCTTAATACTTTGTTTAACTCTTGGAAGACATCTTCTACTATTCCAAGGTGCCTTCAGATTTTGATGTTGCATTTTAAAGCATTTTCAAGATATTTAAAACGTCTGAGATAATTAATATAAGATGATAAAAAGATTATTTACTTTTGGAAGTCAAATAACTTAAATCACTATACTGATAATGCATTCAGCTTAATTAGTATGATAGCTGACAGTCAATATTTAAAACTTTACTATTGCTACATTTCTATCTATTTACTAATTTCTCTCTGCCACTGTCTTGACATTCCATCCCAGCCATTATTTCAAAGTTTTATTTTTTTATTTTTTTATTTTTTTTTTTATTTTTTTTTTTTTTTAGGATAAACGAATATCAGCTAGTGATGCTTTGTCTCATCCATACATCGATGAAGGCCGTTTGCGATATCATTCCTGCATGTGCAAATGTTGCCACAATGGCCCCTCCACACGCCAATACACCACAGAGTTTGAGCCATCTTGTCACCAACCTTTCAGCTATGATTTTGAGGATGACTTGACATCAGTACAGAAAGTTAAAGGTATGGCAACAAGACTCAGGGAGACTTAGAAAGAGCCTACTTGACTATCCCCCCCCATCCCCCCCTTTCTACTTTTCTTTCGTTTATATTTGGCTTTGTTTCTTTTATATAGAAAGGGAAAATGTAAAGCAAAGCAATAACTAAGTTGCTAATATATTGAGAAAAGCCTTTTAAAAATAACTTTTTATCCCTAATTAGACAAATGAGAAAAAAAAGCTTATTAGTGGGGTTTTATAGAGGGAGAGTAATGTGGGAGGTGCTGAAAAGCTCTTAGTGTGACACACTTGCCAAAATCAGAGCAACTGATCAAACAACTTTTTTTGTGAGAGACAGACTGAGAACTTTTCAGCACTTTTTTTTTTTTTTCCAACCTCTCTGAATTTGAATCACCTGTATAAATTGGCATGTGTGCGTGTGTGTGTGTGTGTGTGTATATATATATATATATATATATATATATATATATATGTGTGTGTGTGTATATGTATAAATTTTTTTAAATAATTCTCAAGATAAGACAATTTGGATAAAAGAGACAATTGGAAAATATATTTCTTGGTCATTGCAGGCGCG